CATGGGCTCCTCCAGCAGGCAGTTAAGAGCAAGACCTTGAAACACTCTTCTGTCTTTTCATAATGAAGCTCAGAGAGACTGACTTGTTAAGTTCCTAGCAATGCCAATACCATACAGGGTCTAGACTTGACTCCCACAACAGAATGAAGCAGGTTTCATTCAACAGCTGCTATATCACTACATTCCAATTACACCTGAAGGGAGATCCACACAGTATCATTGTTTATTCATAGTCACCTAGCTTTTATTCAGAGCATCAGTATCATCTCATTTGGTAACTACCAAAGTAAACTGCAACATGGACCACTGTAAAATGCTTTCTGAAGAATGAAATGTAACCAAAACAGTTATTATCCCCACCCTTTTAGGGACAGCTTGAAGGAGATCCAGTGAGTTTCTCTAAAGCCTTTGTCAACATTTGTTTTAACTAAGTGGTATGTTTCCAAGCATCTTACTTCCAAGTTGTAAAACAGTTACATCAAAGATTTTTTAGATTGTACAGATTCATTTTACATGAGCAGTTTCTGCCATCCCTAAGGTCTTTCTTCAAAGCAGAGGCAACAGTCCAAGCCTCCGTGCAGAACAAATAAAAGAAGTGAGTACCTGTCATAAGCTATTCCCCTCACTCAGAGTTTAACTGGGATAGATTATATTGCCTCTAAATAATTTGTTGCGCTGTGTATGACAAGTAAAAGCTTTACCAGCAAACAAAAACAGTGCAGAAACATTATGGATTTGGAGAATGGCCTCTCCAATTTACTGGCATATCTGATGCTTGTATCCCTATGCTACAGAATCACAGCACCACACCGCTGTCCTTGGCACACCACCAACTGCTTTTATGCAACTGATTCATGATTCATGCAGCACACCAGTTTATCCCTGTGTTTGGGACAGGTGGTGTGACTGGCAGGGACTTCACATAAATCAGTAACTCGTTCTTCCAGAGGGCTGGCTGAGACTGGGCCCTAATTTAGCAAGCACAGACCTGGCTGACGAAACTGAAATCTGCCCAAGGATTAACAGAAAGTTCTGGTCTGGCTCAAAACCTTCTTCATTTCCTCCACAGGTCTGCGCCACATAACTATTCTCAAATTGCTGGGAGTTGGAGAAGATATTGGAGGCGTCTTAGAGTTGTATCCAATTAATGGTAAGCAACTATTCCCAGTTTCTTCAGTACTACCCATGAAGGGCATAACATAGAGCTGAGTGCTTCTTTGCTGTGATTTTTTAAGAGGGATTGACAGTTTTTCTCTTTTGTTTTGTTTCTTTGAAGAAATGAGATGACACAAAAGCAAACAAAAAGCTTTCTTGGTGTTTCTGTGCTAAACCTTATTTAGGTTCTTCAGGACGTAAAAGCACAACTATCTAGAAGTTATTTCATATCTTTATCTCTCACCTAAACTTACATTCCCCAGTACACTCCTCTGCCAGCCTTGCTGTCAAAGGGATGTCTGTGTCTTTTACATGCTCAAGAGTTTGCAGGGCTAATAGTACACACACTCAGCAGACTCTCCTATATGGGTCCCTCATTCATATTCATAGAATGGCTTGGAGTGAATAGAATCTCATAAAGATTATCAAGTTCCAACCCCCTACCATAGGCAGGGACATCTTTCACTTGATCAGGTTGCTCAAAGCCCCATCTAATCTGGCCTTGAACTCTTCCAGAGATGGAACATCCATCTGGGCAATCTGCTCCTGTGTCACAACCCCCTATCCTAAAAAATCTCTTCCTTAAATCAAATCTAAATCTACCCTCTTTCAGTTTAAAACTATTATGTCCTGTCTCTATGAGCCCTGCTAAAAAGTCTTTCTTTCTCTGTGTTTCTTATAAATCCCCTTAGAGTATTCGACTTGCATCTCAGCAAGCTACTTCAGGCAGATATTCTTAGGAGAGGTCACTGTCAGAGTACTTTTCAAATCCTACAGGTTCCTCTGCTACCTAATCCAAACAACTGTCTCCATCAGTAGAAGAACAGAGACAGAAAGGATTTCATTTATGCCATCTCTGTTCCAACTGCTCTGTGCAGGAGAGCATCCTAGTCCTTTTACAGCACAGGAACATTAAGTCCACATATAAGAAAGAATAAGAACAGAAGAAGCACTTCGTACTTCTTCCATCAACGTTCTTGAAGCCTCTGCTTATTTTTCACTGAAGGCTTCATGATCTTGGTTATAGTTCCTATCAAGATCAACACTCCTCTTTTCTATGTACTTGTCTAATCTCCCTTCGATCCACGTGTTCTCCTGTGAGAACCTCTACAGAGGTACCTTTTATTTGTCCTGAATATGGCCCCCGTAGCTTTGTTTGATGCCCCTTATTTCTTGTGTGGGGAAAAAGGTAAACATTTAATTCCTATCCATCTTTGCAGTGACATTCACAATTCTGCAGACCTCTCCCAATCCATTTACCTGACAGATTGCAGTCCCCACTTATGTGGACATAGAATCATACGGAGTTGATTCCCAACCTGCGATCAACCTTGCTGCCTTTCTGACTTTTTTCCCAGTTCTACTGTAGTCTTCTGAGGGGAGAGAACCAGAATTTCATGCAGTGCTTAAGATGCACACAAACAACAGGTTTCCACATTAGCATAATAATACTGTTCTGTTATTATTTTCCTCATGGTTTATAACATCTGGTTTTGCTTTTGGTCATTAGTGAGCACTGAACTAGCCTTTCATGAAACTCTCTTTTGTAGCCCTAAGATCTCACTGCCAAGTGGTAATGGTCAATCTTCACCATTTCTTATGTGGAGTCAGAAAAATTTTCACCATGTGCATCTCTTCAATCTTTATAGAATTTCTTCTCTAATTTAACTAACAAATCATACAGTCTTACAAGGATCTTCTGCAATGTCTCACAATCATCCCCTGCCCTTACTACTATGAGTATCTTCACATCCTCAGTATACTTCCTAAATTCTGTCCTTATACCTTATGTGCATCATTTACAAATACACTGACCACCACCAGTCCCAGAAAAACCACAGAACTTCACTGATGACCTTCCTCCACTCCAGGTGATCATTCACTCCTACCTTGCTTCTGCCTTTCAACCAAACCATCAAAGTACCTTTTGAAGTCTTCTGGACATCCACTTATTTTGTATCAGCCAGGCCACCCTTAACCACCAAGTTTGCTGACCTCCTTCAGAGAACCTCAAATCTGTCAGGCAGGATGCCACTTTGTAAGCATCCAGCTGCCAGGCCAAGTAGGTGCCCACTGATCTTAGTTGTCTTATAGTTTCTACTCATTTACCCAGCATAGACTTTACACTTAAAAGCTTGAGTTCACCAGATTTGCACTAGAACATGTATTTTGAAGTGGACGTGACATCTACCACATCCTCTATCTCACATATAATGAGTGAGGTTCTATAGAGCCATTAATGACCCAGCAAATTCATCCTGCAATTCTTCTATCACACTTCAATTCTTGTAATTTCTTTCACCACAATTGTTGTTCACGTATACCTTCTGCAATACCTCAGTTGGTGACCCAAGCTGCATAGTAGTCAAAGAAGTTGGGTGACAAAAAGATGTACCACCCCCAGCAGCTTCAGCCTAGAGAAAAAGGACAAGTTTACTAAATCTAACAAAACTGGTTAAAATAAATTCTTAGTTCACAGCAGAACAACTCCATTTTGGATCCAGGAAATCCTGAACTTGTAAATTACAAGCATCTTACGTTGCCAACTATTGAGCTGTATCCTATCTCATGTTGCTAACTCGCTTACCTACAAACCATCATCATTGCCTTAACAAAACATCAATGCTGATTTTATGTGATCACTTTCTAGGAAGCTCAACTGTAGACCGAGAAGACATCCCAGCTAACTTGGTGAAAGACATCCGCAATTATTTTCAAATTAGCCCAGAATATTTCTCCATGCTTCTAGTGGGGAAAGATGGAAACGTCAAGTCCTGGTATCCTTCTCCAATGTGGTCTATGGCGATTGTGTATGACCTGATTGATTCCATGCAGCTTCGGCGACAGGAGATGACAATTCAGCAGTCGCTCGGCATGCAGTGCCCAGATGATGAGTATGGTGGGTATGGCTACCATAGCTACCACCAGGGATACCAGGAAGGTTACCAAGATGACTACCGTCACCACGGGAGTTACCACCATGGATATCCATACTGAAAAGGGCAACTTAGCCTCTGAGTGCCCCCTGTCTGCCTTCTAATAGCTATCCGAGCAATACGTGGCCAGTTGCAGAAAGTCTTCCCGGGCCAACTATCCACGCCTCGTTCTGCTACTGTTCAATCAGGGGACTTTGGTCATTTGCCTTCTCAAAAAATGCAGAAGCCTTTACAGTGAAGCAATTCAAACCAGTAGTATTGAAGCTTTAAACAATAAAGACTCCTTTATATTTTTAAACCTTTATAAACAAAGGCCATCAGCAGGTGCTGTTTGTATTAAAACCAAACAAAAAACACCCCACAGCCCCAATCTATGGGCACTGCGGTAGGGCAGGACACAAGCTGTCCAACAAATGTTGCAATGTGCTTTTTAGTATTTTTTCTAAGGAGAAAAAATATAAGTATATTTATTGGAAAGTGAGATTTCATTAAGCTTATGGAGAAACGAAAGATCGCACTTGAGGTCTCCCTCAGAAAAGGAAAATTTAAGAAAGAAGCATGGGGCATGCTTCTTAAAAATAACAACAATAATAAAATCTTTTTGAAATACTTTGTTTAAAAAGACAGCATCCCTTCTACAGTGCATTAATATTGTAACTAGCTGACTTTATCAATGAAAATAAGATTTATGGCTATGGCAGAATTTGCTCCAATACAATATAATGTAAAGTTCTTAACTACAAAGCTTACTGCATAACCATTTATTCTTTTAATTGGGATCCCTCTTCTCTTAGGTCCTGCCCACCTCACAATTAAATCCAAGTTAATGAGAGCTAAGTGGAAACACCAACCAGAGTTAGCATTGTCTGAAATACTGAAAACTAAAAAGTGTTGTTTTTAGCAGAAAACAAAATCTCATTCACCTATATTTTAAATGAGTTGTAACTAGCTCTCTATAATAATGCTTTTAATTAAACTGTTACTCTAAATTTCAAATTTTCTTTTACCTCTTCTTCTCATACTGTCCCCCATAAAAGCGATCTAGATTAAATGTTTATAAAACTATCTGAGATTAATTTGATCTGCTAAACCATCTCTATTTCTGGCACACTTATAAAATGGTTTTCTTCTCCCTTCTCACGTCTTTGGGCATTGGATCCATTGCATTACCCTACCCTACTGAAATCAGTGGCAGGAGCTGCAGATATAGCCATGGTTTCCACACCATTTCAGTTCGATTTCCAAATTCTAAAGACACAGCAGAAAGATTATGGAATATCCTGAAGTGAAGAAGATACCATGCAAGCCTTCTTAGTGGCACAGTGGCCACTTCTAATGTTGAGGGTGTGCCTGACCAGTCACATTTCTTTCTATAATCCATGATTTGGGTGCACATCACATACACATACATGCAACAGGGCACTCCTAGTAGGTTTTGCCAACAGAGCAATAGCACAGGAATAGGGAGAAGGCTACAGCCCTAAGCTGGTCAAAGCATGCTCTGCACATGTTTTAGCATTTTCCTGATTTCTTCACTCAAAACCAGATGCTTTCTTTAGAAACTTAGCCACAAAACGCCAGACGCTGCTTGCCCTTCTGAGTTTCAGAAAGGCAGACAGATGTGGAGGTCACAAGGCCTTATTTCACAAACCGGGTCATCCCCTGGGGCTGGCTGCCCTTCGTATCACCAGGCCTAGTCAGTGCAGGGTACAGCTCCTGACTTACCTTTCTCAGGTGACTGGAACTAAGTGGGGGAAGGCAAGTATTTGACAGAACCGATCTGAGAGGACCGCTGCCTGCAGAGAGCTTTCAAGCTCTCACTGACTACAGCACTTCCACAGCTGAAAGCAGTGGACAGAGAAATTAAAAAAAAAAAACAAAAAAACCCCAAGAAGAATCACAGAATGGGAAGGTTTCTAGAAGAAAATGGAGTGTCCTGTAGCTCACTTTTAGAAAACAAGTGCATCACTGTATTAAGGTCAGTTGCCTAACTTTCCTTGCCTGAAGCAAAAAGAGAGGAAAGTATCCCAGATGATTAACAGGCACCTCCTGTAGACATAAAGAAAAATGCCTTTGGGGTGTTTTCTTTCAGGTGTTCATTTACTTTCCTGTAATCTTGTTTTAAAGTCTTTAAATGAAAGCTCTTTTAACTCGCACTACAAATCACATAAACTAAATGTCCTCTGCTAAGAAGGGGGAAGACACAGTGAACTTACAAAAAGAAAGAGTGAAACACCTAATCCAAATGGCCTTTTTTTTAACCCTGTCCAAAATTCAAAGTTAAGTTGTGCAAGTACCAAACTCAGCCTAGGCACTCAATGGGAATTACATTAAAAAGACAACTTCAAACAAACTGTCCACTTATCAAGAGAGGTTGGGTTGGGCTCTTAAACAAAAGGACACATTCAAATATTCATAAAATTCGAGGAAGACTCTGTACTATTCTACATTCTGGTGCCTATTTCTGCCTTCATTACAAAATGACTCGAAATTACCAGTAACTTTTAGCAATTATTTAAAATCCTGATTTTGCAACCTACCTGTTTCCCTGTGGAAAACTAAAAGCAAAGCCAGAAGAAACATCAAATCAAAATATCCTTTCAATGAAACATGTAATAATCTTGCAGGCTATAAGCATTCGAGAGCTACAATACTCCAAATGAAACTTCCATTTGGCAAATCACAAATCAAATCCAAAGCACTGGATCTGTCCCTTCAGCATCACTTCATGGACAGATTTACTGAGCTGAAGATCCTATTCCTACAGATCTTGTGGGAAGATTTCATATGACAAAGAAAAACTTTTTTTGTATACATATTTATCAGATTTGATTCAGCTCCAAGATGGCTGTTTTCATCCACAGCCTGTCTTTGAAGCTGCTACATTCACAAAATAGCTGAAATTAACCAAAATAAATACTGCTTTAATTGGCTTGTTATAAACAAGAGAAACATGTACACACCTCTCTTCCTGGGATTTTTTGTGAACTATTTCCTCAAACCTGGAGGGAGGAACATAACATCCTCAGCAGCAATTAAATTCAAACGTTTGTGAACCTGGGCTCTAAATCAAAGCTCAGAAAAAGCTCTCTGCCCAAAGTATTCATTAAGGGCTATGAGTGCCAAACTAATGCTGCTCTCCAAAAATATCCTCATAAATTTCTCTGTTGTCATTTAAGGCAAATAATAGTTAACCTTTCCAACATGGAGAAGTTTCCATACAGTGGAAATACTTAATCAAGAGGGATTTCCCATGATCTATATGAGATGTGTTACTCTAGAGAATTGCTCCCCCTTGCTAACCAGGGTTGCTCTCCAGCTGACAATCCTTTACAGTTACTTCCTCTAACAAATCTCATTTACATACTAAATTTGACCATCGCCATGAATAGTACAGCTGCAAAAATTGGCATGATTATGCTTTTGGGTTACTAAACACACTGTTTTACTGCTAAGATGATGCAAATCCTTACCCATTTTAAGGCATCCGTTAGCACTCCAGTTGCTGCAAAGGAGATATACAGTTCTCCTCCATTATTATAAGAAACCTGCCTGGCCATCCAACATAATCTCCCTGAGACCTCCAACCTGAAGCCAAGAGAAAGATTTCTACATGTTAGACAGGACCAACTCCACAGTGCAAGTAAACACTTTGATCAACATTTGTATAACCAGTATCTTTGTCAAGTCAGCTACACATGATAGCATTGGTGAAAATTACAGAGGGGAAAATCATAAAGCAGGACAAGAGTTGAAAGCAAGAACTAGGTGCGCTTTATAATAGCTGCAGATCAGTCATTCCTGTATCTCATTTCTTTTAATGCTGGTATTTCAGACAGGAAGGTCAAATGTATGTTTGCATCTGTACAGATGACACTCATCTTTGGTTTGATGCCCTGTCATTACAGGGATGAGGCTGATTTTTATGTTGTAACTTGATGCAAGGCAAAGTTCTTGCTTTTACTTCATGTAAAAAGCTACTACTGCTCATGTAAATGCAAAGCAGTCTAAAGCTAACAGTACTTTCACTCTTCTTGGAAATACCTGCTTATGAGTGAAATAAGACAATGAACTCAGGCAGGTATATATTGCAAAGCTGTATGTAATGACACTAAGTCTTTAACAGTTTGAGCATTCTTCTCCAAGTTTCATTTCTCAAAATACGTCATCATAAACCAATTAGAACTACACTTCTGGAATTTACACTGAAATATGCCTTCCTATTCAGTACAGATTCAAACAGCTAGGGTTTCTTGTGTTGAAATGGCCTACTATACATGCACAACGAAATTAGATGCAAAAGATTTTTCAGCCATGACAGTAAATTCATTTCGTACAGTTATTCTTAATATACTAGACAAAAGTTAATGCAGAAAAATTATAATAATTTTAGATTCATAGTTTATGACTTGACAGTCTTTGGTCACATATGGAAACACGTTGCCCCTCTTGATGGATCAATGACAGGAGCTATGTTAATTAATACAGCAATAAGCCATCAATACAGTACACATAAATAAGCTTTATATACTAAGCCTGGACAGAATGGCCAAGGGGAACAAAGGCAGGACTGTCTTCAGGCCAGAGAAATGCATCACTAACTGCTTACTATACACTGTGGTATGAGGTTCTGACACTGAACTCATTGCTTATCTTCTTAAGAATTTTTCTGACAGTATCTTTCAACTATGAAAGACACATTTTTGAAGGGAGGAAATTATAAGCCAACATGTTTTCTCCTGCTATGAGAGAAGCGGCTTTAGGAACATACCAAGAATCCCTTATCAGCATCCCTGTTCCCTTCCCAGTTTCAAAATTCTCTGAATAATTTGGAACCTCACTAATTTTTCATCTCACTCAAAATACAGTCCAGCAGATGCCTCAACGGCAATTCCAAGATCACTATGCCTGGCACTCCACAGAATGTTTTCTCTCTCTGCAAAACAAATCCAAGACCTTATCAGTCTGACTGGAGAGTGGAGCAACATCAGATGATAGTACCACCTGCACCCTCTTGCTCAGTGCTCCAGATGTTGAAGGGCATTGCTGTAGCTGCATATTTGTTTTCAGATAGTGGCCCCAGTGCAAACTAAGCCTCTACACAAAGCCTTTGTAAACACACACAAAAAAAAGACCCTATGACGCATTCATACTGTTCAACGCATTTTTGTTTTATTCGAGCTCTTTCAAAGTTAGGCCACATAAGCTGCATGTAAAATTCACCAGCTGCTACAAAGGCATTCCAGATTCTCACTTTCCCAGACACTGGGAGACAGGCACAGAGGAATACAACTCTCCATATATACAGCTTGAATATTGTCCGCAACCACATTTGAGATCCAGCCCCAAAACAGTCTCGTTTAGTCTGCCAGTGGGGAGAAACGACCCTGTTAATAAAAGATTAACTCTCTCTCACTATTCTCTGAGCCAGCCTCATGCTAGAGGGAATCTTCATCTGTATCGATGTCACTGCCTGGCTTGTTCAACCTCTCAAATTCTTCTCCATCCTACAGGAACCAGAAGCAAAAGAGAACAATGTGAGCAAGTCATCTTGTTATTACTACCAAAAAACAGAAGGAAAAGAAAAAAAAAGAGCAAGATTTATTTTGAAGGCATCATTTATAATAAAATCAAGACCCTGTAATTTAAATCTATCACCAGCGTGTTGTAAGATTTAGGATATACATGCTCATAAAAACATTCCCTGCATCTTTAACACTTTTTAGCGACTTGCTGCCTAGAACAGCTTATAGCCCATTCTTCCATAGAATTACAAAATGGTTTGGGTTGGAAGGAACCTTCAAGATCATTTATTTTCAACCCCCCTGCCATGGGTAGGAACAACTCCCACTAATCCAGGTTGCTCAAAGCCCCATCCAGCCTAGTCTTGAACATTGCAAGGGAGGTGGCATCCACAACTCCTCTGGGCAACCTATTCCAGTGCCTCACCACCTCCACAAGAGGTTCTCCACAAGTTCATCCACACCTCCACAGTGAGAACTGCTTCCTCATCTAAATAAATAAACACTCTCTCAGTTTAAAGCCATGCGGCCTTGTCCTACCCCTACATGCCCTTGTAAAAAGTCCCTGCCCAGTTTTCTTGTCAGCCCCTCTTAGATACTGGAAGCTGCTATAAGATCTCCCTGGAGCCTTCTCTTCTCCTAGTTGAACAGCCCCAACTCTCTCAGCCTGTTTTCAAGGGAGAGGTGCTCCAGCCCTTTGATCCTCTTTGTGGCCCACCCCGGACTTGCTCCAGCAGATCTAAGTCTCCAGAGCTGGATACAGTACCACAGGTGGGGGTCTCACAAGAGCAGAGGGCCAAAATCACCTCCCTCAACCTGCTGGTCCCTCTGCTTTTGATGCAACACAAGATACAGTTGGCTTAGCCTGTTCACACAGTGCTATTTGTTTTTACCACAGGTGTTAAGTTGTATGTGCTAAAATAGATGACACCTGGCATACCAAAAATATACGACTTTGTGTTATTTATTGCTCATTAGACAACAACCTAAAAAGACACCACGTGGAATTTCCGAAAAACATCTCTTCCCGTTTTAGTGTTTCTTAGACTTTAGTGGGGACAGTGCTCTCTGCTGGTTTCGGCATGAATCCACAGCCCATCCGTACAGGCACAGTGAAAGCACAAGACACTACCCCGTACCCCTCAGGTCACTGCTCAGCTCAGCTGACGGACGGATCTAAGAGCAAGCCCTCCCTGACATGTTCTAGTTAACTGCATCACTACTCAAATTAGAACAAAAACCACTAGCAGGCCTGGAAGAAATATCTAGCAAGAAAAAAAACCAACTTGTCAAAACTCAGTATTTTGAATATTACCTTTTTGTCTTCGGCTATCTTTGACTGTTAAGGTAGAAAGAATTTTAACATCATTTATACTGACTTCTTCATGATATGAGCTAAGCTATAGACATTTAAAAGTTCTACTTAAATACAATTATTTCCCAGGCATCAATTCCAATTTCTGAATGCCCCACGCAAGTAAACTATCTTGTTTACAAAGCTTTCAAGAAAGGACTTGTACAAAGCTGAAGTTGCTCACAGGACTGCCTAAAGTCGCAGCAGGAAAGTGAGGCTTACACTGGCTTCATAATTTCAAAAAGTAGCATATGGAAAGCAATACCCAAGATTTTAAGAAATACTGAGGAGCTTTGGTGTTGAGGAATGAGTCTGGTTACATTCAAGATGAGTCTTCCAAACATTCCGTAGCATAAATGGAGGTGAAACAAAAGAGAAAATCACGGAAGACAAGTACTGAAAAGCCTTACCCCACTTGACCTCTCCCATCCATCTCCTTTGACGAGTTTTCCCCTTTCCCGCAGATTGGTATATTCCAAGCCTCTTCCTTTACTGGCATTATAGATGAATATGGAGAGAAGCACTACAGGAGCTTCCAAAAAGAACTCTAGAGAAGGCCTGAAGTCAAAGATGATGAAAGACACTGTGGTGATGATGACAGTGTTGATCTGAGCAGTCATAACATGGAACATGTTGTCTCGGAACTTCAAGATGAAGGCTACAGACAGCCCCAGGAAAGCTGTGACAAAGATAAGAGCCACGGAGAAGATGTTGTGCCCATAAAAGAAGCCACAGTTCCCTATCTGCCTCCGGTCCTTCGTCTGCAGCACCAGCATAAGCCCATTGAACAGCACCCCAAAGGCGTAGAGTTTGCTGTTCTGTGTGAAGATACTTTCACCAAGCTGATCCACATCTTTCAACATCTTTTCATTGTAGATGTTGGCCATGGCAGAAACAAAGCACTGCACTAGAATAAGCAGATGGCCCAGGCTGAGGCGGAGAGGTTTCAGTGCTCCTGCCATGGTATTGGTGACATTCCACTCAAAGCTGTGAAGGAAACTTGGTGCTACGCAGTTGCCTTTTTCCATGCATGTTTCCTCGGGTCCAGCATAGAGAAGGCAGTGGTTAGACGGACTAAAAAACATACTGTGATGAAATCCATGAGCAGCCAAGCTTTGCTGATGGCCTCCAGTTCCTCGAGTCAGGGCAACAATGGACAGGAATAAAATCACCAGAGATGCCCATTGTACCCAAGAGAGTCTTCGCCTAGTGGACAAAAAGAGCCATCAAATTCAGAAACACAGTGGCATAAATTAAATGACAGAAGAACCAGGTCTACAAATCACATAAAGACATCATGCCACACAGATAACGAGACAGAGAGGCACAAATGAAAGTCTTTCCAAAAGCTTTTCAGAATTAAAGTAAAATGTCAAAATGCAACAAGTTTTTCTATGGCAAAGAGGGCCCAGCCTGGTAATCAAAGAAGTACAAAATGGGGTATTCTGAAAAGATAAGAAAAAGCAAACGCTTTCAAGATCTCATTATTTCTAGATACTGATTGCCTAACAACTTAAAAGCAACTGTTGTCTCCATGAGAACACTGGTCTGATGAATAAAATCACATACATTCAAATAATTTCATCATTTCTTTGGTAAACTTTCATTACACTTCACTTTTACTCCATGATTTTGTGCCCTTCTCTAGCATTTTTGGATGGTAACTCTTACAAATCTACAAATGTAATTTATAAGACTTTTAGAATTATTTATACCGTTTTTTCACTCAAGCAAAGCCTGTTTATCTTGGTGAAAATCAAAAATTTGGAAGATTAGGTGGACTGTGACATCACAAGAGACACAAAACTAAACCGAGAAAGAGCATTTCAAATCAGACT